CCATCAGTAGAGAGCAATCATTGGAGATAACACTTCCCAGATATTAAAAAATAATAATAATACACTATTTACATTATTCGGACTATTGTCCTCATCTTTGTCGCCATATTTATTACAACGTTTCGGTCATTGTACGCTCCGGCCTTCTTCAGGTGGTTGGACTGTCGAACTGAAACCTTTATTTTGCTCACTGAGGTAGACTTTTCTAGTTCCATGTGCCATGTTTACTGAGTGTCAGTTATCAGTTATCTCCTGTTAATTCTCCTCTCCAAATTATCCACCGCCTTATCCGGGTATTGGACTTACACTCTTTGGGTCCTGTCACTGGATCTAACTAACGCCTTTATCCACTGTGCCATGTGTCCTTGATGACATCTGTGTATGAATAAGGAAAAGTGTATGAATAAGGGTTTTATGGCAACCATTTTTTACCATTGCAATTTTTGCTGTTATCATTACATGTTTTTACCATAGCTCTCATATTGCAATTTTTGTTGTTATTATCGCTTTTCTCTGGCACTCCTTATTACTGGTTCCCATATTGTATCCATTTCTATGCTTGGTCGGCTCAGGAGATTTTTGTGACCGAGAATATGTGCTGATTCCTTAAGTTTACGAATTTTTCAATGGTGTTCTTTGTCTATGACCTCAACCTGATCCGACAGAGGGAGGTGATCTCCCTTCTTTCTCCATATGTGGTCACTCACGCCTGATCTTTCTACTTCCCCTCGTGTTACAGCTTTCTGGTGTTCTTGAAGCCTTACCTTAAGGGGGCGGCTTGTCTCCCCTTTATATTTCTTTCCGCAGCTGCACCGGATAGCGTACACATAGTCTTTAGTCATGTTCTCCTCTATGGGGGGGAATCTTACTCGGGAAAGATATCTGCGAAGTGTCGTTCAGCATTTGAAGGTTGTCCTGATGTTATATGGACTGCAGATCCTTTGTATTTTCTCTGATAACCCCTTCACATAAGGCAGGCAGACTGTTTTCTGAGTGTTGTTGTCCTCCCATTTTTGGAGGGCTGCTGCCATGTACCCAGGGTAGTTGCTATGTACTATGGTACTACTTATACTGACCAATTCTTTATTCTTTTTTTGTCTCTGGGTCGCCACTTATGACTTTTGCTCAGTGTTGTAAGCAGCGGACGATCCCTTTCTTTACGCTGTATGGATGGTGGGAGTTGAAATTGAGGTACTGTCCAGTGAATGTAGGTTTACGGTATACGGATGTCTTAAACCCATGCTCTGTTCGAGATATTAGAACATCCAGGAATGGGAGTATGTTGTTACTCCCTTTCTCCATTGTGAACTGTATCAAAGGTCTTATTGAGTTTACATGGTCTAGTAGAACCTGAACATCTTCCTAGTGTGGCCAGAGTATGAAGCTATCATATACGTACCTTAACCATAGAGTTAGCTTTAGAGATATAGATTCTAATGCCATTTCCTCAAAGTATTCCATGTATATATTCGCCAGTGCAGGTGATAATGGCGAGCCCATTGCTAACCCCTCATCCTGTCGATATATGTGTGATCCCATTCCGAAGTGTGTATAATAATAACAATAATAGTAATATATTATAATTTATGTTGCACTTTGCATAATAAAAATTGCCATCTTCAAAACATATTTTTATCAATATTTTTCTTAAATGAATATAGAGATATTTGAAATTAGCACAATATATTGCACAAAAGTATATCCTGAATATATATGTATATGTGTGTGTGTGTGTAATATAAACACGTGCAGAACGATCTGTATTCAAAGTATTTTCGTAATCTATATGAAACAGATCTTACCTTAAATACTTGCTTTAAATCAAACCGTCGCGTATCTTATGTAAATGTCAAACAGAATATGATAATCTTACTAGAAAAGATTTATCATGAACTGTGTAAAGAAGGAAGCAGAGATAGAAATCTTTTTTTTCTTAACATCTTATGATGTTGCACGTTCGTTTGTTGCCATGACAGCTATTTTATCGATAGCATATGGCAGTTAACAACTTCTTCACACTTGTTCCAATGTTCGTATTTTGGTCGGTCAATTTAAGAAGAACATAAAATCTATTTGCTTTTCGGATCAAATTTCGCCAAGAGGCAACTTTTTTTTTGCACAACGGTTCCCACTCAGTTTATATAAAGAATTTGCTTTTGAGGCAAAGGCATAAATGAATTTCGTTTATTTCCTTATCCTTAGTCAAAGCTGCTGATAATGAGTGAAAACAAAACAACCAAAGATCGCAGTTACATATTGTCATATAATTGCACCCACTCTAATTATTCGCTGCATTATTTTAAATAGAAATGAGGGATGACTGGCTCTGGAAATATAGAGGACGTAGTGGTGAAGTTATTGACTAAAATATTCCCTAGTATTTGGGGTGGGGATGTTATTATTGCTGTAAAATCAGATTTACTAAAAGTAATATAATAGGAATATGAATAGCAGGTAAAAATATAATGCCACAAAACAAGTAAACGCAAACATTTCCACGTGATCTCAGCTTTTAGTGAATAAGTTTTCTGTGTGAAAATATCTTTTAACTTTTTTCTTGTATCAACAACACCTCCATAATTCTAGATTATCGCTAAGTTTAAGATGTTTCTGTTTCCTCTTCAGTAAATAAAAACGTGGACATGAAGTTAGTTATACTGGACTGTCTTACGCCCACCAATTTCGAACGAAGAGAAATCCAGCGAGAACAGATTCCTCAAGAATAGATAATTTCATACATCGCTGTTGTCCATTAAATGAAGAATTAACAAAATTGGTCAAATCTCTGTTCCTCTTACTCCATCTTTTAAAAATCAACGGAAAGTGTTATTGGCCATGTTCATCAACAGCATAACCGAATCTAACGCGTGTGTGCATGCATATTTGCATACGTGTTTGTGTATGCGTATGTGTGCAGGTGTTTGTGAGAATGAACCAGTGTGGGGAAAAGCCTGTGACAGTCCCTGTAGAAACTCAATTCAATCGTAATTGTATTTAATTCGATTTTTTCAGTTTTCAATCTTACACACGCACACACACACATATATATGCACATATCGATAGGGGCCATCGATAGCTGTGCTAGCACAAAGTCCCAAGTCGAGGGCTTGAGAGTGCTGGCCTCGTTCAGATTGTTGATCACGCTAGATAACACGCTCTCTCCTACAGAAACTGTAACTAAGGTCCGCTAAGCATAGTTGTAGTATAAACCACAGGTGGGCGGGCTCTGGGGGTGTTGAACAAACACAAATGTGCCTGAGCAAGCGTCTGCAATAGGCTAACTGCCCTATTAGACGGATTTCCTCAAACACAGTGACTATATATATATATATATATGATATATATATATATATATATATATATATATATATATATACGCATGCACACACATAAGCATACGCACACATAAGCATACGCACACATATATGCATAAGCGCATGAGTAAGCTCATACTTACATATAAAATGTTCTGAAAATGTAACATAACATGATGATTTAATTACTCCGTAAATATATTTTTTTATAATTGTACGCGAAAATATTATTACAAAAATATCTGTACTATTCTCAGATATTATTTTCTATTTGATAACAGCAAAAAACATCCTAAAGCATGTATAGGTTATTGGAACAACATTTTATCTCTCTTACACACACACACACACACACACACACACACACACACACACACACACATACAGATTGGATGGAAAGAAATATTCGTACATAAATATATATATTAGTTGGAAATACAAAAAATTGTATTTGTACGAGTGGTTGTTCCCCACCACTGTATTAATAAATATACATATGCCTATGTTCAGTGCACTACGAATGTAGGTATACCGTATATGTATATTTATTAATATATACTTCTTAGTTCTGTATAACCACCTTGAACACTGTTTTGTTTACACCTTGTATTAAATTAAATGAATATTTATTCGCTTACCTGTGTATGAAAGCTAACGCACATATATACAGTTCCTAATATCTAATCATTTGTTTTATATTCACATTTGTACCTATTTTACATTCAACATCATCACTTGATAAGACACTGAGAGTGTTGAAACAAAATGGCTATTTTTGTACTGATTTTATAACATATTTATGTTATAAATTTTTTTAAATAAATAATTATATATATATATATATATATATATATGCACATATGAGTGTGTGTGTGCGTGTGTATGTTTGTGTGTGTGTCTGTATATGTTAACATATGTATCTGTATTAATTAGTACATGCACGAGTACCTACGTTTTGATGTGAGACTATTGTTTCGCTGGGTGATGTTCCCAGTTCATTGAGCACGGAGTCTATCTTGCCGGAAGTAAATAAATGACTCATGGGAGTTTCACGCCCATATTACGTTTACTGCTTATACTTGGCCGTTTCATTTATCCAATCTACAACCACATGTATCTGTATATACTCACGCATAAAAATATTTACATATATAAAGACATGTAATTTGCTAACGAGTTCAATGTTTATTACATTGACTCCGATAATTATAACCTAAGTAAATCGGGTTTTAGAGCTTGAAAACAGAGGCTTGGATTCTTCATAGATTATATGAAACTCACTAAAAATTGATTTATATCCATATGTATGCATATATATTTCGAAATTTTATAATATGCACAAAACATATCTACCAGAATACATATAAAATAGATTTAATGCATAAGAAATACTTACATGTTACGTATATTACATAGTATAATTATTGCCTGTCTTGTCTATCAAGCATATATACACACACATAAACATACACGCGCGTGCGCACACAAATTACTGAATATGATACTGTAAAATTGATTCAATTCACTTTTTATATCACAAACGATTCAATCTTAACCTGTAATTAATACATTTATTACGCAATGAGGACGATGTGGAATTATTTTAATTCTAAAAAACATGATCTGAACTAAGGATATAGTAATATTCTCGGCGGGCAAAAGTTGTGGTTAAATTCTGTCATTCTGCTAAAAATAAATGTCATCCGTTACATAAGGTGCGAGAAGCGGGAAAATGCGCAAAGGAAGTTCAAAAGAAGTTTGGTAGATTGGATATCGGTTGGTACCGTCTATAAACAGTGTCAACTAAACCGTCAACTCAGCAATAAATAAATATAAAGAACTTACTGGGCGTGTGCGACAGGTGATAATGTTCGGTACAAGCAAATTGCTATAAAGCAGGAAAACAGTCAGATTTGGGCCCATTTATAAAAATGAAAAAGGTAATATACTTAAATCATTTTCAAAATGTTTTAACAACCCAGTTCTTTAAATTGAACAATTTCTTTTACTCTAAGTTTAATCTGAGAGAAATTTGATTTAAGACTATTTGAAAAGACTATTTGTTTGACTAAATATATTGCCCAAGGGACATTCAAAAGTTTGGGGAAAAATGAAATTAAAAAGAAACGTGTTGTGTATAAGTTTTATTTTTCTACATAATCACCATCAACATCAAGGAACTCCTTCAAGTGTTGATACCATCCCAGAAGAACTGAGGATTCTGAGAATTTAATCATGGCAAAGTAACTCTTTTTTACGTCAGTAATAGGTCTCAAAACTCTTCTAGAAAGATGCTATTGGTTTTGTCTCTTTAAATATTAACTAGCAAAATACCTCCTGCAGAAAAAAAATGTCACGGTAGCCGAAATGTTATGACTGGCTTGCTTTCGCTTTAACTAAACCCTTTCCATATTTGGGCAAACTTTGCTTTAACAGAAATATATCTCTATGATCTTATTAGTAAAGCCAAGTTTCATCTCCAGTTATAATTCACTACATAAAGCATTCGGTAATTTTATTCCATTTGTTTAAAATAACCATTGAAGGCCCTGATTATCTGGGCACAACAATTTTGCTACCCACCATGCTTTCTTTTGCTCAACTTTAATTTTTTCAGATAAAATTGTGTAGTTTTAACCACATGAGACATCTAATGTGTCAGCTATTATTTTTACAGTTAATTATCATTCACACTCGATTAAATATCGAACAGCATCGATATATTCCACGAAATATCGAACAACATCGATATATTCCTCGAAATATCGAACAGCATCGATATATTCGTCGCCAACTGAAACTGATTGTCTGACGACACGTGTGTCATCTTAAACTGTGTCTTGTACTTTTTGAAACGAGTTTGTAAATTACTGATATTTTGGGGGAATTTTTTTCAAAGTACCAATAATCTCATTTTTTCAACCAAATTTTACTATTAATTTCATGTTAGTTCTTGGTTCAATATATTGCTACTCTGAAGAGTGTTTTAAACTGGTGTAAACTTCAGTCTTCACGTAATACTTTCGAGTCATACAAGTTATAACACATAAGTTCAAATTTATTTTGCTGCTGCTCCTGCAAATATATATATATATATATATATATATATATATATATATATATATATATATTTGCAGTATTCTTATATGCTTTTTTCCACGAACTCTTTCAATGTTTATGTCTTTAATGAGAAGGCTTCTAATAATAAGTTTGAAGGCTTTCAGGTTGTTTTTAGAATGCATTGGAAATTAAAAGGCTTGCGATTTTACAAGAGTTTTATCTAATGCACATAAACACACATTAAGAGAATATTAATATCCTTCCTGTCCTTAAGAACAGAACCTGGTGGAGATAGTATTCAATATGGCATGATTTTACCCGTCTTCCAAGAAGACATTTTCCCCGTCTTCCAAGAAGACACGTGCGATAATCCGGGATATAAATTCTGGTATTATCTCAGGACGTGCCATCTGGAATCCAATCAGAGGCCTACACAAATCACTATCAGCGCTTATCTGATAAAAAAGTAAAACAAAATAATAAAAACTTTTAGCCCAAAGCACATTTTGTTTTTGTTTGGATGTGTTATTTATACTTTTGGTCATTTATGGTCTTATCTTCACCCACTTCCATTCTATTTGCTTTTTCATTTTTGTCAACCATTCTCGCCTTTTTATAGAGAAGAAATTAAACAATTCTTTCTTTCTTTTCATTTTTGAGATATTTACTTTTATTCTTTTCGTTTATTGCTTTTCCTATTCTCTTTCTCTCACTTGGCAAGGAAGATAAGCGAGAGAAAGAGAGAAAGTAGAGTGAAACAAACTAATAAACGAAAAGAGTGACCAAGGAGCATAATTGAAATCACCTATAAGGACTAATTTATCCTTATGTTGGACTCTCGAAGGAGATTGAAAAAATCATCTTTTTCTTCGTTTGAACTACCTAAGGCTGGCGCGTAGCAGCTAACCATTGTTACACGGGTGTTGCACTCCAGATTGAGGGTTAATGCTATTATGCGATCAGATACACCTTTAGGTAAGGAAGGCAGTGAGCTAGCTAGGACTGACTTGATGGCAAAGCCAACACCAGACTGGCGTGGCTCTTTTTCAGTTTTGCCAGCCCATAAAAATACGTATCCGCCTTTTCTTCCCTAAATTGAGAATTACCAGCTAGACGAGTTTCACTAATGGCCGCTATGTCGATGTTATATTTCTTCAACTCGAGAGAAATAAGAGCTGTTTTACACTCTGGTGCAGAATCATTGACCTGAAGAGTGCGAACATTCCAGGATCCAAAATGGAAATTCTTCTTATACTTACTCTGATCTTTCTTGCTGTTTCGACTGCTTTATTGGATAACCAGACAGCTGCAGCAGGCCGCCAAGTCTCTGTGTGAGCAAGCAATGTTTAGGGCTCCCTTTATCGCCCCCTCCCCATAATAGAGAAAGCAGTTAAATCCTAAATAGGCCTGCTTTGTCACCGATGGAGGACACGGACATCACAATTGCTCATGGGTTTGTGAAAGAACGACCATCACCCATCGGTCTGCCACTGTGTAGAGCTCCAGCTAGAGCCTTCCAGTAATATCCTTTACCTGACCCCGTCGCCTTCATTCTCTCGCCAGCGGACCTTGCAAGTGAACTGTGTGGATAAGAACGAATCAAGGTAAACCACCAGAAAACCCACACAAGTGATTTGATTAAAGTGGTGAAGGCTTGTGCAGAACCATCCACACTTTTCGGAACTATTGATACACTCAGTCGGTGAAAATAAATGTTCTATAACACTAAAGTGCTTGGTCAGCCCTGGTAGACACTATTAATGGATATTATTTTTTAATCCGAGTTATTTATATTGGTTCAAATATTATGTTTGAGGAATGCCCGTATCTGAATAGATGCTCACTTTTTTTAAACAATGTTTTCTTGTCTTCCGCCGTTCGCACACAAGAAAACTTTGCAGGCTGTGCAACCGTTTTGTCTGGGGGGCTTTGACAGCTTGGCTACGATCGAGCAATCAAAGCCCGCTATTCTGTCACTCATAAATATTCAAGTGAAGATAAAGAGAAATAACAGAAACCAGAAGTTAGGATATTTATTTGCTCAAAGGCAACTGACGTCACTAAAAATATTTCTTTGTGTTTTTTTTTTACTTCTTATATATTCATGAATGACTAAGTAATCTTTAATCTAAATTTCGGATAATAATACTTTAAAATATGACTGCTACATGCTTCAGAGTCGATTTGATTGTTTGTCTTCGCAACTTGATAAGTAGAAATATGTGTTATGTAAAAATAGCACTATTTCACGCATGTGTCTTAGTGACATCTCATTGATTAGAGCATGATGTTTACTCGCCACAAGGAAAATAATTTATAAACAGATAAACATTATGTCTTGTCAGTACACGTTTTCCACTGACATGAAGTGAAACGATTATATTGAATCAATTGCTACGTCTACTGCTAGGAAAACTGGTTTACATTGTTGTTTACTACACAAATCTTTCTCGCCAGAATCTATCTTGCGCATTTATAAGTCTACCATTCGTCTGTGCAGTGAATATTGTTGTAGCATCTTGTCTACTGCTTCTGCTATCTAGAGATTCTTGACAAAATACAAAGAAGAATCTGCAACATTATTGTTCCTGGCCTGGTGTCTCAGATTCAGTCACTTTCCCATCACCGCAACGTGTCGCCCCTCCCACCTTGTGCCCTTTCTATAAATATTTTTACGGTAAGTATTTTGATGGGCTTTCTTCTTTGGTATCTCGGTTTCTCGAATTTAAACCCAGTACTAGATTGACACTTAAGTTTCACAATTTCACAGTTTAAATTCCTAAATGTAAGCCTAAGTTCTGTGCTAATAGTCTCTTCTCTTGCACTTCTCATTTGTGAGATTCTCTTCCGGTTTCTTGTACGAAACGAGAGTATGTTATCAGATTGAAGAGATTTTTGAAGGAAAACATGAGGAAATAGTAGCAGTCAGATTTAGATAAATGCTCTAGAACAAACAAATAAAACACTATTAAGTGAAAACACGGGACTTATCAATTTTTAAATTTAAAGGGGTTGCAAAATCGTGAAAATGTCAAGTTATTAATCATCAGTATTTTTCTCTTTTTTATCTGTACATGTGGCGAATTTTACTAATCTGGTAACAGGAATCCAGCACCTAGAGGGTGCTTGTGCCACTGAGGTATACAAACTAAGAAATCTGTTCATTTACGCCTTGTCATGAAAGCCTCTTTTTCTCATACCTCAGGATACAGACCAATAAAATAGGCGATAGCAGTGACGCCTACACTCGCCTTTTGGCCGTACTTGATGAAAATGAAGCTTTCCGGTCGTTTCGCCGACAGCAACCAGAGTTCGCATTGTTGGCTTTGCTAGCTTTGCAATTACAGACAAGGGAGGCGTATATGTTTTAAAACCCACGTTTTCAGAATATTTTCCAGGTCGGAAATGCTATACAAATAAGGCGTAATAGATGATTTAGATTAAACAATTATACAAATTATAGCCAGAAGCTGATCGTTGACTGGAAATGTTCATGCAATATATATATATATATATTATAATGATGCAATATCTAAACTGATAAAACGCAGTTGGAAAAGAAGACATTTTGTGTGTTGAATGCGTATATTTCAACTTTTCAGAACTGATTGCAACTGAATGAGAAAATAAATAATTGAGAATTAGTTTTGACCTCTCCATTATCTTTCTTTCACTCACTATACGAAGATATATATGTGTGTGCGTGCAAATGTCTTCCGAAAACATCTCAGGGACCTCTTCCAAAATTTGATCGGGTATGGTATGTCTTCAGAGGATTCAGCATAGAAGAAGGGTTCATACAAGTCATCCAAGCTCTCTATGACCATGTCAACAGGCATAGTTTTCTTTAATAACTAAGTAGGGGATTTCTTCCAGACGACGACTATCGGCGTCAGACAAGGCCTGCCTACTCTCTACAACACTTTCCAACACTGTTTCTGGATAGAATTATGCAGGAAACCCTCTACGACCACAGAACTTCTATCTCTATCGGTGGTACACTTGTCTGCGACCTGTGTTTCGTAGAATATATTGACTTTATGAAGAGTAGTAACAAAGACCTGGCCAACAAACTCATTGAAAGAGACAGATTCCGCACACGGATCACCACAGTCATAGCAGCGATAGTCAGACAAAAATGAAAGCTCTACAAATCGCTGCGCAGATTCATCCTCCTTTATTGGTGTGAGACATGGACGATCTTGGTTGAGACAGGATAAATGGTCCAGTCGTTCGAGAACAAATATTTGAAAATATTCCTCCGCACAAAACCAATAATTATGTACGAAGCAAGGTCAAAAGTCTCTTCTTGCCACTATTAATCGTCGAAAGATGGAATGATTTTGGCTACGTCACATAGTATAACAACTACTGCAAGACCATCATACAAGGCACCGTTGAAGGCGGACGCAAGCGGGAACGGCAATGCTAGAGTTGATCAAACATGGTCAAAGAGCCGATGGACATATCAGAACTACTGTGAGCCACCAACAATATCCTGGGGAGTTTGTCTGTTTCTTTTGCCCTTAACCGCCCCGCGACGATTGAAGCAGTCGAAGGACTGATGATTATGATGAAGATGAAGATATATATATATATATATATATATATATATATATATATATATATATATATATATATATATATATACACAAATAAATTTGATTAAAACTGTCCGACAGGCATGTCTGTTTAATTTGTTAATGTATTTTTCCAATTTTCGAATAATGTGTTATGTATTAACAGTCCGAACTTCATATTTTGTTATTGTTTTTTCAAGTACTTTCAAATATTGAAGTCATTTTAATAAAACGCCATTTATTTATCTTTTCAAATTATTTCTAATTTCTTTTATTATTTAATGTACTCATTTGTTTATTTACATTTTTTATATTAAGATATGCTCACATTAAATGATAATATGCTCTTTAAGATATTGTCTCTTCTGATGAATGATATTTTATTTAATGTGAGATGTTTATTTTGCAAAATAGTTGCTTCTAGGTTTTTGAATCTTTCTTTACATTGAGTGCTGTAGAGTGTTTTGCTATTGTCCAATAGTATTTGTCTTATGTTGATAGTTATAATTTGATCGTTCATGATGTGCTCGTCAGTATATACATAGATTGCACTGACATTCGACAGCTGATAGATCAATCTGCATTTAAGGTTGTTTTTATTATTAATGTTGGATATGCAACAAAAACAAAACAAAACAGACCTTGTTGCTTCCTTTTTAATTTAATATATATATATATATATATATATATATATATATATATATATATTGCTGATAAAAGTAAATAATCTGTTCAATAAAATTAATGTTCTAAAAATATTTTTATTATTTTATCTGATAAACCGAACGAATTTTTTGCTCGTCAGTCTCATTTTATAGGCATCTGTAAATTTATGCTTATGCGTAAATTAAAGGATTTCTAAACATTTTGTTAAATGTTCTAATATTCCAATTTTGTGACTCTTTCTGGTCTTAGATGTTGTCTGCATCCTGCCTCTTATATATTTTTATGATTAACTATATTCACCTTTTGTTTAAGTAACATTATTCACGTTATTTATTTCTAAGTTACGACTTAAGCTAATAAAGTCTTCATTGAAACTTTTCATTTTTTGTAGATGTGCAGAAGAAACAGTCTTTTCTTTTTACTTTTTATTTCTTCTTTTTAATGGGATTTCAGTGTTTCTGGCTCGTCACATATTCCATTTCTTTGTTGTCTGTGAATTGGCAGGGTTTTTGTGGAGTTGTGTCCTGCGTCCTTCATAACAGTTTAAAATTCAAAGTGTTCCTTCTCTTAGAATAATTGCTACCCAAGGATATATAGTCCTGTCTACTCTGCTATTTAACTCATAGCTGAAGAAAGTGAAAGGTCGATTTCGTTCTTTCTCAAGGGTATTACTGTGAAAGTAAATGCAACAGACTTGGCTGGAACTGGTACTCAGTTCGCAGATTTGACTTTCATCGCCGATAGCCCTTACGCAGCCCGCACACAATTTCAAGGTGATCAACCATTAATTCGAAGTGAATCTTCCACGCACCATTGTTGTAAATGGTCCAGTAGGTTACTGATCTACTAGAGAATGTTGCATTCTCTTCTTAGACTGTCGCTTAATTGTCTGTATTAAGAGATGAAATAAATCGCTACTTGTGATCAGGAATCTGAAAATATCGAGTATAGATTCTTTGAAATGTGAAACGCAGACAACATTCTGAAACTTAATGGAGGAACAGATGAAGAAATTTATATAAATATGCAAACTTTATGTAAGGGAAAGAAAAAGTCAGATAGAATATATTATAAGCTTAAAGTTTCGTGGGTACCAATGTGACTTGTGACAGTACAGTTGATATATTTTGGAAAAGTACATGAAAACATGCTTGTGTGTGTATGCATTTGTGTTTCATACAGCATTGCTGTATGAAACACAAATGCATACACACCAAGCACTATGAATGTACTCGTTTTATAATGTTCTTTTTGTGATATATATATATATATATTATGTGTGTGTGTGTGTGTGTGTGTGTGTGTGTGTGTGTAAATATATAAGTGAACATCGAAGTCAACACTCAGAGGCGACAGGCAGTGTCATGCTGGACACAATCGTCAGGCGGCCTGACAATTGCTCCAGTATGAAACAGCCTCTGAGTGTTGACTTCAATGTTCACGTTTATATTTATATTTACATACGCTCTATCTCTGATATTGAGCACTTTATCCATTAAATAGAGCAAACCTTAAAACTATATTTTTCACACACACACACACACACACACACACACGCACACACACACACACACACACACATATATATATGATATATATATATCTATATGTGATATTTATATATATGTGATATATAATATATATATATAGGTGATTATATTTATATATATATAAATCACATATCACACATATGTGTGTGAATGTATATTTGTTTGCCGATTAGAATTTGATTAGTATAAGTACGTGTATGTGTTGAAAAGTTCTCAGCCTGTTTTAGTATTCTGATGTTTGCTAATTAAAATATTAAGTTTTAGGAGTGGGCTTGGCCAATAACTTTTTAGCACTCCGTCATATATTTTAAAACACAAGTATATTAACTCAAATGTTTACACATATAACCATTTTTTAAAAATAAATGTATATAATTTTATATTTATTTTATTTTCCTTTTGCCTCACCGTTTTTTTTAATAGCATCTACAAGCTCACATATTGATCTATTATAATGATGTACTCTTAGCGATAGAAATAAATCATCACCAACTACACTCGTTGGACTCAAGTATAAAGAGGACAGCGAAAACAAACCTGAAAAGAAGAAATTAGAGCAACGAGATATGCCCTTGTGGAATAGATTATAAGCGGAATTAGACAAAACTAACAAGACTGTGTCTGACAGAATTACAAGAAAGCAGTAGCGGATGGATGATAGTAAGGGAGGGGCGAGATGAAGAGCAAATTATCCAAATATTTTACTCAGGATAGTATAAACTGGCTAAGTTTTTATGCCATTTATAGGCAAAATGATGTTTAGCCCCATTCATTCGAAAAAAAAACAAACTTTATATATATATATATATATATATATATATATATATATATATATATATATATATAGAGAGAGAGAGAGAGAGAGAGAGAGAGATAGATAGATAGATAGATAGATAGATAGATAGATGAGAATTTGTTTAAAGATACTAGTAATGTAATCAAATAGAAAATATGAAAAAAAAAGAATAGTAGATAGATAGATAGATAGATAGATAAATAAATAAATAAATAAATAAATAAATATGAACAAACTGATGGTACATATGAAAGGACAGACACGCCGGCAGACAGACAGATAGATAGACAGACAATACCATATAAGGCTAATCATACCACTAACAGAAATGTCTCAGAAAATATATTGTAAAGAGAATACAATTAAGAAAATCATTGGCATCATTGTTATATGAAGAAATCCGAAGAATAGAAAAGAAAAATAGGCAGAAAAGTAGAAAAGGGCCCAAATTGACAGACAAATGAAGAACATTTTACATTATTCGGATTATTGTCCTCATCTTTTTTGCCATATTTAACGTTTCGGCTGTTGTACGCTCCGGCCTTCTTCAGGTGGTTGGAATGTCGAACTGAACCCTTTCTTTCGCTTACTGGGGTATACTGTTTTAGTTCCACGTGCCATGTTTTAATGGATGTCCTTGAGGACCCATAGCACAGTGAATAAAGGCGTTAGTTAGATCAGAGTGACAGGACTCAAAGAGTGTGAGTTCAATACCCGGTTATGGCAATGGAGAACTTGGAAAGGGGAATTAACAGGAGACAACTGACAACTGACACCCATTAAAACATGGTGCGTGGAACTAGAACAGTCTACGTGAGCGAAATAAAGGGTTCAGTTCGACATTCCAACCACCTGAAGAAGGCCGGAGCGCACAACGGTCGAAACGTTGTAATAAATATGGCGACAAAGATGAGGACAATAGTCCGAATAATGTAAATAGTGTACATCATACCTCATCTCAGAAATATAGACAGAAAATGAAGAACTTATAGTAAAAAGCCAAATTTGTCTCGCTCAAATACATTAATCAGGTCCTTAATTTTGCATGAAATGAAAATGAAAAACTGATAGAAATTAAAACCATTTGTCGCATCGTGTATAGGTATATATATATATATATATATATATATATATATATATATATATATATATATATATATATATATATATATATAAATGTCTTAAAATAATTGTCGGTCTTTGTCCATTTCATAATGTGTGACGTCATTTGTTTACATTTGAATACGCTTCCGTAAGAGATTCATGGAAGATTGTAGTTTAAAAGCAGCAAAATCGACCTTTCTACTCGAACGATACTCTGTGGCTCAATTGGTTAAGGCATGTCAGGCTATATGACGGTTCCGTATAGCATACAGGTTCGATTCCTGGCGGAGGGCGAATATTTTCTATGAAAATTTCTCGGACATTGAAGCCGGTAAATGTTATTAATACTGTTTTTTATAAACAGAGCATTTACTTAAATATTTGTATCTATAAAAAGAATGTATAAACATAAAAATGTCTTAAAATATATATATATATGTGTGTGTGTACAAGCATATATTTTGTTACTGATTTTGTGTGTGTTTTTTTTTTTTGTTCTTTTGTAATTTTCGTATTCATTCTGGATAGGAAAGATTTCAGACTTCCTAAGTTTATCTTGTTTTGTTGAATTTATGATAAAACCTTTAATCTAATACCACAAAGTTGAAACTATATCGGCAGGTGCTTTTTAGCAAATGACCGACTAAATGAAAGTATCTATACAGTCACTTCCGGTGTTTCCTCATTAACACCATTGCTAAGAGCCAAGAGGCGTGGCGGTTGGTTATCTCATTAACATATCATTAACCAAATTCATTTCAAATATTAAATTTAATTGAAATAATTACCAACTTTCCCCGACTTTGAATTTTTTAAATGTAATATTTTCAGCGTCGTTTCATTAACCTTGATCATATTTTCCAGGTTTCGTCAGCACTTACTAATTAAAACATTGCTGCCTCATTTAGAGCCATTTAAATCAGTTTTTAATCAATTTCATAATCAATTAATCAATTTCATAATCAATTAAACAACTTTCAGATTATTTATTATAAAGTGCTGACACGCCTTTGTCGGCGTCTGTCTGAATCTCTTAAGATAGTGGCTAATCGTCACTGAAAGACGAGAATAAGGTTGAATCTGTTTTATTATAAGAACCTCTTTTTCTGTTGCTTTTTTTGAGAGGATTATAAAAAGCCTAACAAAATTGGCAACGAACCTTTTATATTAGGAAGCTATCCGTCAATCTTTTAGGTGTATCTATAGTCAGAAATTGGCAAATGAGATTTTATCGTTATTTACCTTCATTGCATGTGTACTATTGTCCTCATCTTTGTTGTTATCACAGCATTTTGGCCGTTGTGCTTCCAGCATTCATCAGGTATATATCGACCCGAGGAGTTCTTAACCATAACTTGGATGTAGTGAGCTTGCTCATCAGAGTTCCTATAGATGAAGCCCCGAGAGTGGTTCAAACAGATTGGAATCAGATCCTCCCAAGGAGAACGTAACTAACATTCTAATAAATAAGCTGATGGAAATGATGATCTTTTGTGTGCAGACAACATTCTTTCAACTGGTGTTTGACATATACCAACAGGAGGAAGGCTTGGCTATTGGTTCCCCAGTGATAACGATCATATATATGGAACACTTCGAGAAACTGGCTCTAGGAATGGCACTACCGAAGCCAGCAGTATTACTGAGATACGTAGATGACACCTTCATAGTAGGTGAAGCTATACAAATATTGCTAGACCTTACTCACCAGGAAGCTGTACAAATACTGCTAGACCTTATGAACTCAATAAGACCTTCGATCCAGTTCACAATAGAAGAAGCAAATAATAATCAGCTATTCTTCCTGGATGTACTAATAACTCGCACAGAGAATGGGTTCAAGATAATACGTATATCACAAGCCAACCTTCACCGGACAATACTTCAACTTCAATTCCCATATCCGCATTATCGTGTGAAGAGAAGTATTGTCCGATGACTACAACATCGTGCAAAAATCATGTGGCAACTTAGACACATACCAAATAATCAGCACCAGGGGTACCGATCAGAATAAAAAGTACCTTATAAACATAACATCAGCGTCTGCAGGTGGAGAATGGTCAAGGAGAAGGATCAAAAGAGTGCCACGGTCTGTCTACCTTATTGGAAAATATTCAGAAGAATAGACACCAGGACAATATTCAGAAACAACTCCACTCTACGGAGGAATCTCTACCGAGTGCAAGGAAGAACATGACATAGACCGGTGTGTACTCCATTCCTTGCAGTTGTAGCAAAGAATAGAAAGGTGAAACAGGCTACCCACAAAAGTAAGACTGGAGGAACATCGAAAAGCCGCAGTGAAGGACGAAACAATGAAACCAGGCATGGCTGATCACTTATAGAGGGAAAAGTGTAGTCACCAGGCACTGTGGAATGAAGTGAAATACTAAACAAGGAAGAAAACTGGAAAGTTAGACGTCTATAAGAATCGTTGTTGCTATTATTTATTTAATTTACTTTTAATCTATTATCATCGATACTGTTATTCTGCTTGTTTGTATATACGGCCATTACGCTTTTCTACCAAGGATTAATTTGTAGTATCTGCCTGATTCTCGGGCCTTCTGGAATACGTTAAACTTTCTGATCGAGAAGATTACATAATGATATTAAGCAGGAAAAAGTTTGGGAAAGTGAAAAAAAGAGAGAGGCGAAATAAAAAGGATGCTAACGACGAGGAAAAGTAGGAGGTAAGGATTTAGAGAAAACTGAAAAGAGAGACAAAAGGAAAAAAGTAAGTCTCTATACAGAGAGAGAGAGAGAGAGAGAGAGAGAGAGAGAGAGAGAGAGAGAGAGAGACAGAGACAGAGACAGAGACAGAGGAAGAAATGTCGAGTCATGCTTGCTGGGTGGATTTCAAGAGACCATCAGCGAAAGACTAAAAGACCTGAAAAGTAATAAAAACTGTGATAGGCAAAAATTCATGGGGAGATAAAGCGAAAGAAGGATAAAAGCGAGAATACAGTAAAACATATATGTGCGTTCTTTATTGCCTTTTCGCATATGAAACTAATCCAAGGTTGAGATAAGAATGTAAACTCTATCTTGAGTGGTTTGTGTTAGGTGAAAAATAGTGTAAATTTTTTTTTTTTTAAATTTTTTCGTTATTATTATAATTTATATATTCACACTAGATATTTGGTAACCGTTTTTGAGAATCGAATGATTCCAAGTTTACTCAAACGTTCAGCATATTTTTCAGTAATTTCATCAAAAACCCTTTCTGGAATTCATATTTCTTCCAGTGTTTAAGAAACGACACTGACCCTCACATTCAACAGTTTCTTCAGTTTCCAGGCCAGGTTTTACTATTTTCTTTTATAGGTTTTTCTGTTCTTCACCTTTTGGTCTCTTGCTATATATCTGTCAGATTTTTTTGCCTTGTTCATAACAACCAAACAGAGACATGGTTAATTGTTCTTTTCTGGATTTCTAATTGGGCCGATCTCGAGTTTACTCATTCTGAGATGGTTTCAAGTGAGCTAAAGCATCAGCATCATCATTATCGTAATCATCATTTGTACTCATCGGTTTTTTTATGGCATAGTCACTTTCTTTGGAGATCAAGTAACAGTAAGTATCATTTTATTTCTTATTATTATATCTATTCCAAGTTTATTACTCCCTCATACATAATTAAGCGGAAATTTAATGAAATAAAGCAATTTTTGATTTCTTTTAATACATGTTCTTGTTTTGACGATACTTTCTGTCCACTGAATCTTAGCGGAAATTTTTGCTGGTTACAACAATCTTGTGATGTACGGAGAAAACGTTAACTTCTAGTTTAGTTTAGTCTCTCTATATTCAATGCAGCTTCCCAGCTGCATTGAATATAGAGGAACATGTTTTGATTGCTAAAACAGTAAGGAAAGAAGATTTAGCTCCACTGATAACTGTGACTGAAACAGATGCATTTCCTATCATCGGTTCTTTAACTTTACTTCTACTTATATTTCGATTTTTCAGAGCGATATATTAAATGTCGATCAGAGCAAATAATATCAAAATTGAAACGTAAATGTGGAAAATGGAAACATTTTATTTTTATCTGTAAAATGATGTTTAATATTACTAAATGGGAATATTAATGTAGATGAAGACGCAAAAATTGATATTTTATTTCAGCTCATAAATAGTGGAGATAAGAAATAAGGGGGAAAATTAACAACGGGCCTGGGAGAGAAAAATCTGTGAATGAATAAATTAGGGTGAGTTTTTGTTTACTTTACAAGTTTCGGTATTAGTTAACAGCTTGAGTGCTGAAGTTTTTTTTAAATGAAACAGAGAGAGAGAGAGAGAGAGAGAGAGAGAGAGAGAGAGAGAGAGAGAGAGAGAGAGAGAGAGAGAGAAAAAAACACACACACTCTACTATTACTTATCTGATTTATTTCACTGGTTGCTTAGTAACTTATAAAAAATCATTTGGCTCATTTTTCATTTAAATTTTTTCTTTTCATGTAATATGAACAAGGCTGACGTTTCGGTACATAAGTATCGTTACCTATGGCCCGCAAGTAAATATTTAAATTAATTTTTAACGTATAAAAATAATGTGTTCAACCCTGAGAAACAGAGTAAGTATTACAGTTTGAGGATATGCTGTGAAGAAGGAGCATTGTGCTTAGATGGGTCTTCATGTCACAAAAGGAAAAATATCAGGAAGTGGTGAAGAATTTGATTTTTTTTCAATTTTATTTTGACTAACGTGAAATTTAATAAGCATTGCAATTAAGAAAAACGGATTGAGCTGAAAACAGATGCGTTTTCAAAAATGAAAAAAGAAAATCTGAGTAGATTTTCTTTGATCAAAAGTACAGAGAGCAAAACATCTGTCAGATATTTGATGAAAATATTTAATTACTGACAATAGAATGGCTTTAAAAATTATGACCCCCTAGCACACACAGTCAGACGTATACCATCCGAGAGAAACTGAAATTTGTATTTATCATCATCGTAACAAAAATAATAAATACGGTTGTACTTAATGATAAATGTTTCGGTTACATTTAGAATATATATATATTTGGGAGAAATTAAACTTCAAAGGTTTTCTTTATAAACAGACTTTAAAATTTTTTTTTTTTTTTTTGATTTGGATCAGTGACAAAGTTCGCAGGTACACTGACACTAAAGTTAGATGTGAATTAAGTACACCAGGAATGTCGATAAGAAACGCTAAAAATTGTGCGTTCTATACACAGATATGTGCATGCTAATTCACAGACAAGCAGACCTTTATACTTGATACTCGTACAAATACGTGCTAACGTTATTTTGGACGAGAACTAAACATTTGAATTTAAATTTAAAGAATAAAAAAAATGGGTGAAATGAAAAAAATTACAGCGAAATCTTATTATTCAGAGGATAGATCACGAAAATATCGACTTTGTGAAAGTTTATTTTATTGAAATTTAAGGGATAGCTTTATGTGGGTTATTCATGGAAGGTGTAAGTGTAAGGAAAGGAAAGGAAATGTTAGGAAAAAAGGAAAGAAAGAAAGAGAACAAATATAAAAAAAGGAAAAGGGCAGAAGAAAGATAGAAGAAGCAGACAATGGTAGAAACAAGAAGAAAGAGAAAACCACTGAAATGATAAATGAAGAAGAATGAAGAAGAATAGGAAATAAAGGAATGAAGAATAGGAAATAAAGGAAACAAAAAGAAAGGAAGAAAAAGTAGAGGGAGAAGGAAGAAACTAATGAACGAATGGAAATAAAGTAGGGAGAAAAGGGTAGAAGAAAGAAGGAAGGGGGGGAAGAGGAAATGAGATAGTGGAAAAGAAGAGGATAAAGAAAAGAAGGAAAAAAAAAGATAAAACAGTAAAAAGAACATGATTTCGTTTAATTTGCACTTTACGAGTTTGGTGTCGGCTTGACCTACTTCCCAAAATCTGACCAAATCCCTTACTGGTAGAGAGCATTTAAGTACCCCTTGTAACATATGCACAGTGTTTATCAATCTACACAGGAGACATACGTTTATAATTTTTTTTTATTTTAGTTTTCTAGTCTAAAATAGGAACCGGTATACTGTGAAAATTTTCATAACGATGGTCATAGCTGGAGTGGTAGTAAGTAGAATCAGAAGTTAATAGGAAGATATTAATAGCGAGAATGCCTGAAGTTTAAAGAAGGCGAAATTATGAAATATTTCGTTTTTTTTTCATGGTAATATGGAAACTTCTGCTATTAGTAATATTCTCTTACTACTGAGATATACCAGTGTTTAATGGTTGCCGTAATAATTATATAGCTTAGGGCTATATTCCGTGAAAATGAATGATTTTAGCATGATTACATAAATTAAGCTTCGTATGAAATAAGCACTTTAGCAGGAATCTGATGAGTGACTTACTGACAGCACAAATCTCATTTCCTCATGGAAAGCAGTTGATCCGATAAGAAGAAGTAGATGCAGAAGAAGAAAGTTTTGTAAAATTAAATAAAAAAGAAGTCAGACGGCCACCAAACAATTTTTCCTCGTGTGTGTCTTTATATTTTACACTATATCAGATTATATTATGTCAAGGCTTATTATGTCATAATAAAATTGGTATTAACCAATGTTAGAAAAAAATCAGGATAAATTTATAAGCAATACAGCGTGAGTTTCTGCTTAAAATATTCATCCTTATTTAAAATACTGATAATAACTTTTGAGGGAGTAAATTTTTATTATGCAAATAAACTAATTGCAATTATTATTAAAAAATAAATCCAAAGGTTATAAAGTTATAAGCTATAGTAACATCTATTTGATTAATAGAGTATCCAATATACCTGAATAAATTATTATTTTATTATGTTACATTTTAATATGCGCTCCTTGACATTCTCTAACCTTTATCATGCTTTCATTCATTTTGTTAACTATTTTATTGTTTAGACTTGCAGCAAATTTCAATAATTTCCAGTAATCTTTTTTTGCTTGAATATTTTTTTTTTATTTTCATATACATCTCATTTAATGACCGATCACAAGTTTTCTATTGGATTAATATCTGGAGAGGTTTGGGAATTATTTCATTAATTTGGTTCTTTGAAGCAATTCTTGGCAACATGGGCAAGTGTCAGTTTGAAAGAATGTGAAAGAGCATTGTTTTACTGGAATATATCGTTTAGTATAAACTTTTGGCATGTAATTTGTACCCCTCAAAATATTTAAATAATTTTCTGTCCTTATCTTTACACCATGATCATCTTTGAAGAGACCTATAATTTTACTGCTTGCAATATTATCCAAATCATTACCCAACCCCTGTACTTGTATTTTAAGTCATGTTGGTTGAATAGTCCCTTGAAGGATTCATATTCTAACTTAGCCATCAGATTCATTCATTATATCTATTCATTCATAACTAAAAATTACCACTGAAAATCAATTTTCATGTACGTCTCCGCCCAACTTACACATTTCTCTTTGTAATGCTTACTTTAAAGTTGTATTTTGGTTGCTTTCATATTTTTAGTTAATATTGTCTCTATTTATATTCACATTACCAGCTTCTTCAACTATTTTCTTTTTGCTTAATCCACTTAATCTTGCTTTTAATTTTTCTCATTCTTTATAAATTCTTAAAGTCATTCTTCTTGTTCTAACTTGCTAATGATTTCAGTTTCTTCTTTTTATTGTTCTTTGATCTTTATTCAACTTTCGTTGCAATTTCCAACATTGTGTTCATTCGTAAGTAACTTTACAACATTTTTTCACTTTTGAATTTAGCGCTTTCTTACATCCCACAGTAATCTTTAGACATTTGAAATTTAAAGATGAATATTTATACTAATATATAAATTATTTACAACAAACACCCAGTTGCATAATTTCACATCACAAATAAATTATTGTAACAACTTTTAATAAAAACAAACATCTATGACCAAGGATTGTTCAACTACTGATCACACCAGATTGTGCGTTATCTCCCAAAAACTCTGCTCAGTATTTTCGATGTGTAAACTGCAATCTGGCTCTATAGGTACTGAAAAAACACTTCTGTAACAGGGCGTAGCTATTCACCCTAAAAAACGGGCATGCTCGGAAACGAACGACCAAGCATTGCTAAGAGACAAGATCACAAGTGTGGACTACCAATTCATCAGGTTGACTACGGTGGTAATGGTCTGTACTTCACGCTTCATATCGTATAGTCAAATGTTGCACCAGGAAATTTAAACGTGGAGAATCATTTCCATCTTAAACGTAAAGAATCATTTTTCTCATTTTCTTCATTTTAAGCAAGTATGCACCACATAATTATGACAATAGAATTTTCAGAATTCGATGATTTCATTACCCACTTAGTTGAATTTCTATGCCTACTTTATTTTTGTTTATCTCTGAGTGTTCTCACGAAAATACACATATATAAAGATTGACAGTAACTTAAGAATATATATGTGTGTGTGTGTATATGTGAGTGTTTGTGCGTATGTAAATATATATATATATATATATATATATATATATATATATATATATATATATATATATATGAAAGAGAGAATAAGTATATATATATATATGAAAGAGAGAGAGAGAGAGATAGAGAGATAGATAGAAACGTAAAATCAGGAAAAAATAGACAAATAAAAACAAGTTAAATTGTTTAGCTCTAAACCAATAAAAAGGGGTTTATAATTAACATTTTTTAAGGCAAGGAAGTTCGGAAAACATATCAGCCAAAATGCTAGGGCAAAATCAATAAATAGGAAGATTTTTATCACTTAATACAATTTGATACAAATAAGATAAACATAAATATATTTTGTTTTCTTAAACCCAAAATATGAACGGCGGTTGAACTTATCATTTAAACTTGATACCATACCCATACATTTATTTATTTATCTTTCAAAAGTCGCTCCGATTTGTAGCAAGCAAATTTCTAGAATTAAATCAAGATTTATGGGCAAAATTTTTTTTACAATAGCAATATGACTGGAAACGAAGTAGGTTAAAGAATACTTTGGTCGAAATGTTTTAAGAAAGACGACAAATAAAAGGATATTTTATTCTCTAAGAACGGTGTTTGAAACCTGATAAATCCTTCGAAAGGTTGGTACTAAATAATCTTTCGAAGAATCATTGTCTTATACCATATATATCTAACATGAGCTTCAGTTTTCTTATCGCTAGCTAGTCTGTTTCTAATGTTTACATTCAATTATTGGGTTTTTATAGTCGCCATATTCTACCAGGAAATAAAAGATGACATTTCGAACGGAATACTTTTTTGTCGAATCGTTTTATATTTATTAACTTTTTAGGAATATTTTCGTAATTACTTGAGTGTAATGGCCTAATGAATGCGAATAAACTTAATATTTTACGACCTAATCCCCCATCACTTTACTTGTCTAGCACAATAGTCATAATATATGAGACCATACAGTGAGGACGATTCAGCGCAAGTTACTTTAGCTTTTTTCCCAGTCCATGAAGAGGTTACAGTTTTATAAAAATCTATAATCATTATATAAAAGAACTAGAATGATTAGCAAACATATAACCTTTTGGGATCGAGGCGATTTGTGGAACTGTTTATTTGCGTGAGACATCTTTTTCTTTTTGATGTAATTACATGTATCAGCAAACTGGCATTGTAAGTAAGAACTACACAGATTTAGTGA